ATTTTACCGACCCTAGCCGAACCTGCTCATTGTGACCTCCCAGGAACTGTGACATTAAGTGACTAGAGCACTGGGATGTGTCTAGAATAAGCAGGAGTGCTGGAGACAGCCAGAGATGCCCTCATGTTAGGCAAAGAGCTTTAAGTTGTCTGCATTGCTTCTGTGGAGCTTTAACCACTGATTTATTGGACATGGCCTTTATAAATCAGAGGCTCTCATGGACGGAATCTTTAAATTAGAAGGAAAGAATTGATGTCGTTTTCTGAGTTCTGGGTTAAAAATTAAATGTATTGAATATTTTGATCAGTTTCTATTTTGTTTTTAGTATTTCATCCCTCTAGAAAAGCTGACTGAAGTGATAGATGTGGTTCTCACAATTCCTAGATAGTAGAGGTTGAGTTCCAGAGGAAATATATGTATTACAATACATGGCCCTTTAAAAGGCAGGTTGGAGATACTGTAGAAGCTAAAAGGGATTTGCTTCACAGCAAGGAATGTGATGACTCCCTGCTCCTGTTTCCCAGCGCCAGCTCGCAGGTTTGCTGTTTGAGTTGGGATGCACCACCTCAGCCCTGCAGATATTTGAGAAGCTGGAGATGTGGGAGGACGTGGTCATTTGCTATGAGAGGGCTGGGCAGCACGGGAAGGTAGGTGAATGACAGCCGTGCCTTTGGTGGTGAGGCCGTCTTCCTCCGCTTGTCCCCCTTGCTCTCTAGAGAGACCCTTCCGACAGCATTTGCTTACATTCCTTGTTTAAGTAACGTAAGACTTTTTAATGTTTTCTCTGATTTATGCTGTACAGCATATTTTCTGTGTTCATAAAAGAGAAAAGCAGCCTGGAGTTGATATGATATTTGGCATTTAAGAAAGAATAATAAAAACTTTGAAGGCACTGCACATTTTGATTTGTTTTTCTATTGATTCTTCTATAGCACAGCTTTGAAGTAAAATAGAAGGAATTTATTTTAATTATCTTTGGGGTATCTGATGATTAGAGGCTGTAGACATGAGGGAGATTATCTAGGAGTTTTGAGTCTGTGTGAGAAAGTCTGTGTGACCCCTGCTGAGGCAGAAGCATTATTAAGTGTGTGATACATATTTAATTCCACTCTCAAATTGAGTCAACAGAGAAAATGTTACAATATTTGCATCTGTTATTAATCTGTTGTTTCTTCTCCTTATAAGTGAACCACATTTTAAGACTCATGTCTCTACATTGTGCGTAGTTATAAAACTGAACACATTGAAATCATATGTTAATTAAAACTATTTTTATTTTATGTGCATGGGTGTCTTGCCTGTATATATGTATATGCACCATATGTGTGCTTCGTGCCCACAGAGGCCAGAGTGGATGTCAGATCGTCTGGAACTGGAGTTACAAATGGTTGTGTATCACTGTGTGGGTGCTGAGAACAGAGCTGAGGCCCTCTGCAACAACAGCATGTGCTTTAATTGCTGAGTCAGCACTGCAGGCCCTGCTTGTGACTTCTGATTGCACTTTACTGAATAGAGCGTGCAACAGAGTGAAATCCTCAAGTTGGTTTTTATTCTCACTTTTACCTTTTCCATTGTTATGAAGAAGAGAAACAGGGGTTAAAGTACATGGGTTTCTCTTTTGTTTCTTTTCTTTTTTGTTGTTGTTTTTTTCCTCTCTCTCTTCTTAACTGTATGTATGTATGTATGTATGTATGTATGTATGTATTTATTTTTTGGAATTTTACATCATGCAGTCCAGTCCCACTCATCTCTCTGTCCCTTTGTATCTGGCCTCTGCCCTTGCAACCTCCCCCCCCCCCCCAAAAGAAGAAAACAAAACACCTCTCCCAAACAAAAACAAACAAACAACAAAGCATCTCACCATAGAAGTTCCAGTGTGTCCTAGTGTACACCCTTTTATCCAGACATCTTCACTTGCAAATGTTCATTGCATCGAGTTGTTGGTCTAGTTCAAGGTGTCTAGCTTCTTCTAAGACTCCACTATCAATACTGGATCCTCTGTTGTTGCCCTGTGTCATGGGGATCCTGCAGCTTTGGATCTGCAGGACCAGCTCCTTCAGGATCCAACTGTTCATAGATGGGGTAGATGCTGGGGTAGGCCAACTCAAAGCCCTGGATCTGGGCCTAGGTAGTAGCTGAGTTGGTCAGTCCACCATCCCTCCTGCACCTACACCATCAAGGCCTGTTCTCCGCAACAGCCCATTTAGCTCTCCCATTGCTGCACTATGGGGGTGGGGCAGCTCTCCTGCTCTCATGCCTTTGAGGAGGGCTCACCCAGGCCCTTGCCACGAGGGCCATCTCTACTGTGTTGTCCAGGTGAGGTTCAGGGCCCAGCTCTCCCAAGTGCTGAAGCTGGCAAGGGGTGGGTCCGACTCTGCACAGCCCTTGGATGTCAACATAGTCTCAAGCAGCAGCCCAGACCAGGCATGTCCACATGGCCTTTGGTGGCAACATGGGCCATGGACACAGATCCCTGCTATAACAGGGACACTTACCCAGACACTGTGGCCTATGTGGTGGGCGGGCCTCTGGGTATCTTCTGCTCGCCAGTACCTGAGGTGCCACAAGGTTTTTTTTATATATCTTCCTTTTTTTTTTTTTTTTGGTTTTTCGAGACAGGGTTGTTTCTCTGTGTAGCCCTGGCTGTCCTGGAACTCACTCTGTAGACCAGGCTGGCCTCGAACTCAGAAATCTGCCTGCTTCTGCCTCCCAAGTGCTGGGATTAAAGGCATGCGCCATCAGTGCCCGGCTTTATATATCTTCCTAAGTGTGTATATTATAAGAACTGTGACAGGACTGGAGAGATGGTTCAGTGGTTAAGAGCACTGACTGCTCTTCCAGAGGTCCTGAGTTCAATTCTCAGTAACTACATGATGACTCACATCCATCTGTAATGGGATCTAATGACCTCTTCTAGTGTGTCTGAAGATAGCTACAGTGTACTCATAAATATAAAATAAATAATTCTTTAAAAAAAAAACTGTGACATGTATGTCTTTCATGAATTGATCAATAGTAGTGAAGTTCTTTGAGTTGTCCAGTGTAGTGTGGAACCAGCAGTGTTACCAGGAGATTCATGGTCTCTTTCATATGCTTTAATATTGCAGATAAAACAACTTAAGATGGAGCTAACATATTGGCTCTGCAGGTAAAAACATGTGCGTTCCTTCACCCAGGAACTGATGGAAACAGATATGGAGACCCACAGCCAAACATTAGGCAGAGCTCAGGGAATATTGCTGTAAAGGGGGAGGAAAAGTTGAAGGAGCTAGAGGGGTCGGTCAGAACACCCCAAGAAAATCCACAGAACCTAACCTGGGTTCATAGTAGCTCACCAACCAGGAAACCTGCATGGGACTGACCTAGGATATGTACAGTTGTATAGCATATGTACAGTTGTATAGCTTAGTCTCTTGTAGGACACCAACAGTAGAGGCAGGGACTGTCTCTGACTCTGTTGGCTGCCTTTCCACCTACTGGGTGCCTCATCTAGCCTTAATAGGGAGGATTGCCTAATCTTACTGTAACTTGATGAGCCATGGCTGGTTGATATCCTTGGGAGGCCTGCTCTTTTCTGAGGAGAAGAGGAGGGGTGGATGGGAGGAGGGGAGGAAGAGAGAAGGGACAGGGAGGAGAGGAGGGATGTAAAAACCAAATAAGCAAGCAAGCAAACAACAGCAACGAAACCACCATGCAAGCCTGGCAATATGGGTTCCATCCTTGAACCTAGGTAAGCTAATGCCATAAAGTCCTGTGACCTCCTCAAGCATACTCATGCACACATGTAATGTAGGCTTGGGTTTTTCATAACTTACTTTAGGGTTCTTAAATGCTTCAATCTCCCTTCTAGCCCACCTGCCAGAGGTAGGAGAAAAGAAAGGCTAATAGGAAATAGGGGTCGTGGAACTGTTTAGAAGGAGTTCTTTGTGAGAGATCCCAATCTTTGTTGTCAGAATATTAGCCACTCCTGTCCAAAACATCAAACATGAATCAGTAGCGACAATCCAGTCTAATTGGCAAATACTAAACACAAATTAGTAGTGGTGGCTGGATCCAGAAGATACTACAAGGCTCTACTGAATCAGCACAAGTCTGAGGAAGCAGCAAGAAGCTGCTGGAATATCACAAGTTCTTTGGTGAGTTACTCTCTATACAGTCACGGCAAGTGAAGAACAGCACCACAGAGCAAGATGAGCCAGTGCAAGACTAGCAAAGACTAGCAAAGTGGAGCAAGGTGAACCAATGCAAGAGCTTTGTCACATTGTCTGTGGGGATTATATTCTTTCGAATCATCATACATCCTTTCACGTGTCTGCTTCAGCAAGATATCCTCTCACCGGTGTCTGCTTAGTAAGAAACCAGAAATTTCCACTTCAATGTATAGGAAATATCAACAAAGAATTTAAAATAGACTCAGAGAAATATTCAAGGACAATTTTATTGGAGTTTGAAAAGAACAACAACAGGAGAGGAAAACTGGAGATTTTAACAGGTGTTGGGGGAAAGTGTAAAAAAGAAAACGTTAGGTGTTTTGAGTTTGAGGTCAAGAAAACAGACTGGCTCAGGAATTGAAGTCCGTTACCAGCTGCAGGTGGGGTTGTGAGTAGGGGTTAGAGAGAGTCAGAATGCCTGCAGGGTCAGGACAGAGGAACATTAGGATTTTGGCCACTGTCTGGAAAGGGAAATAGAGAGAATGTGAAAAGTTGTACTTAGAATTCAAAACAACAGCTTAGAAATAAAAAGTTATACTTAGAACAGCAGTGGACTTAGCTGGGAGTCAGCAGCAGCCACGTTGGCTTTGTGTATGTGCATATGCGCATGTGTGCAGTGGTGGGGTGGAGGACTTCTGGAGTATACAGGTAGTATCTCATTAAGGAGGCGGGTCTCATTGTGCCAGCATTCCCTCAGTGTATCGCGTGTGTTCTCATCTTCTGACTGCAGACTGTTCGTAAAGCAGCATTTTCTCCGTAGAGGCTACTCCTGTCATCTGCTTCAAAGGTGTAGACCACTGCCTAAAGACCATGATGTGTGTGTCACGTCATGTCACCATGTTTGTACTTATGTGACACCCACTCTTGGGTAAAGGCAATTGTATGATCGGAAGTTGACATAGGTCAGCATCCTGTCCCAAATGGTGTCTGTGAAGCAGCTAGCTGCACACAGCCCTTTGCATTACTGTCTCAGCACAGTTTCCTTTCCAGTAGGACTGAGGGTTTGCTGTAAGGCTATATAATATTTTGATCCCAGAAAAGAATTCCATTGCTACCCACTCATTCCCTTCTTCTGTATATCAGCAGAAGGCTTCCCTTTATGATTCACCTCACATCATAGAGCTGTCACTGATTATTCAAGCAGCGTGACTTGATGATGAAGGGCACCTTCTCTGACAGCGGCCTGACCCGGATACTCACTTGCTTGCATGCCACTTTGTGATGTGGGGCAAGTGACTTTATCTGCCCTGTCTCAGTTTCCTTGTTTAGAAGCACATACTCTGCCTGGTTTCCAGGTTTCCCCATGGTAGTGTGTGCTTCCAGATGGTTGCTTATCTTGTTGTGCTACATTCGAGTCTGCTGTGGTTCTGAGACATGTACCTGTTCATATTTTGGTAGCTTTGAAATGGGAACTTCAGCTAACAGTCAGTGAGATC